ACAAAGCCTTAACTCTACCTTCTCCTTGACATATCTGCCGCCAACATTCGACGCTGCATCCAACCACAGTTTGCGGGTGTATCACCAAATTCAGACATTGGGGATTGAATTGGATGCTACCTCTTGGAGATGAAAAAACAGGGGGAGCTTTTGGTGCCAACAACTGTTAATAAGCCCATTGCCCCAGAGTTTATTTTAAAATTGGTGTTCTGCAACTGTAGGACAGATTGTGGAAAACTGCGCAGTTGCAGAAAAGCTGGATTAGATTGCTCCAATCTCTGTTGGCAATACAAAGGACAGTCCTGTAGTAATGTTCTCGTCCCTAAGCAGACTGATGAAAATGAGGATGACCACGAAGAAGACTTTGTTTAAATATAAGGTACCTATTAATTTTACGCTACACGATGGAAAATATTAACACCAACATAAAGACCTTTAGTGTACGCCACTGTGTTAAGTTAAATATGTACTTATATACATCATTTTGTAGGTATTTTTACTGGATTCTCTTCTTAAATCAACCATTTTTGAAATAAATAACGAAAATTTTAAAAAATGTACAAAAAAAAATGGACTTTGTCGACTTTAAACGTTTGCTGTACGCCACTGTGTAAATTAAAATATAGACTTATACACATCAGTTTGTAGATAATCTTATCGGCTTTAATTTTAATATCAGGTCTTTTTTTGAAAAAATGAACCATAACCGAGATAATGGGCGAAAACTAAAAAAATATACCTTTGGGGGTGGTTTTGGAGTGGTTTGCATCCTCGCAGGGCTGGGGACTTTTTGTATATTAATCGGGGCGACCAAAGCTAGATATTAACCAAAAGTCAGCTTCATGTGATTTTGTTCCACGGGTGAACTTAAATGCATTGGGGTATATAGGGTATCTTTAACATGGTATTTGGCAATATTAAATCATTGTTTTCTCCGTAAGTAATTGCCGGTACTTTCAGTGCCGGCATTTCACGGTTCTTCAAATAATTTTGAGTATTCAAGTATAATCTCAAAAAATATTTCTTCTATGTAAAGCAGTCCTGACTTAGACTCACAAATAAACTCTAATTTACCATAGTTTGTCTATCGACATCTGACATCTCTAGAAAAATCGTCCAATTAATTTGGACAAAAATCGGCATTTCGTCGTTTTTTTTACCTTCCTTGTGTGTGTCTGTTGCGACGAGGCCGGAATTTTAATAGAAAAGAATGCACCGGCTCGTTATTTTTCTCGGTTCGGTTTTCGTTACGTAACATTGGTCACACACACAGAAGGCACCCGTATAATTTCTGAATTAGATTTTTCGAAAAAATGTGTCGAACGCGTAACCGATGAAGATAAAGAGAACAGAAAAGGGTCAAATTTAATTGAGACTTAATAAAGGAACAAAAAAAGATATACAAAGTATACCGAAATAGTTGAATGTTTATGTTCGAATTAAAGAACACAAGGATTTTTTAAAAAGGGCGATTTTTGCAAATCCGAAGGCAGATATTGCAAGGAAAATCATATTTCCATTCGACACAGTGGTTTTAATTGTGGTTAAACGTACCTCTGTTAATTAGCAGCGTAAGAAATATAATAAATACCACACCGGTAGTGCTTTTGAGGAAATTGTCGTGGGTGTTGAATCTGCTATTCAGCACCTGCCCGAGGCTTCCAAAGTATTTACAACAAAGGCTTGTAGAAATCAACTATCAAAAAATGTAATTTCAAGTAAATTATTAAAATCTAACAAGGAGCACAAGGTTGTCAAGAGTTTCCGTAACAAAGATTGTTTCTACCTAAAAGCACACAAGCGAAATAAGGTTGTTATATTAAATTAAAAAGACTATTACGATAAAGTTAACAACTTAATCGATAATTCAATTGTTATTTAGAACATTTTATTTATTTTTAACATATGTTACCATCCTTTGTCAAGAATGATTATTACAGTTATTTTTATAAAATCCGTGGATAAGAACAGCGCACATTTAAAAATTATTCACGAAAAAAAAATATTGTGACTAATGTCACAATTAAGTAAGATCCTTTGTTAGAAACTGTAGTAGTATATGGGCCTAATACAAATTGTAGCAATATTTACACTTTTTTTGTAGTGAAAAATGGCAGCAGCAGTTCATAGTTTTGTAGAAGGTTTTAATATGAAAGCGTTTAGGACCATTGGTGAATATAAATTTATACTATAACATAGGTATTTACATACATTACATGCCACAAATTAGCCATACAGCGAGTTTAAAAACGATTTGTAAAACTAAAGAATGGATTGTAAATTTACTACAATAATATGTGGCAAGAAATAACCCTCAATATTGTTATTAAATTCAGAAATTATTTTTTTCTGAATTGTTCTGAATTCTCTATCATCACGACATGCCATTTTACCGAATTTATTAAAATTATGAAACGTTATAGAATTTCTTAAATATCATTTTTATCCACATCCGTTCTATTTTAAGCATTAGCTACATTAAATTATTCTTTATGAATAACAATGCCCATTATCTTCTTAAAATCACGTAACTCCACTGCCCGATAAAACCTGATAAGAAACTCTTTTCAGTAAATCAAACTTAATTGACAACGTGTACGTTCACCAACTGACTTTCGAGACAGACAACCACACAGAAAAAAAATAAACAAGAAAAAGGAAAAAATAGGACTAACGAAGGCATCGTGCGGCTCCATTTTGTTGTTACTACAGGAGCTAATAAAAACAAATTATGGGAACCGAGCATCTGCAAGTGACTTTGGACTGAGTGACAGCATGCGCGTGGGTTGGGCGATAACGCCCAACGTGCAGTACATGTCTTATCCTTACATCAAATCGCGGAACTGAATTTGGACTGGATATGATGGAACAAAAACACCGTAAAGTGTATAAATATTTAACGTGAAAACGATGGTAGGTTAGTAATCCAGTAAATTTGTATCGCCGTATAGAGAGTGAAAAAAGAAATTACGGGCAAGCTGATTTTTTCAGAGTTTGTCAGCGACTGTCTTCTGAGTGTAAAATTAACAAAATCGGAAATTTTCCCTTTGCAGTTTTTGAGCAATAGGGGTGGTTTTTTTAAAACTGTACTACAACAAAATAATTAGACGATTATTAGATTATAATTATTACAGAAATAAAGATGTCTAATATTGATACTAACAATTTGTAACAAAACTGTTGATTAGGTGCTTAAAGAGAAACTAAATAAAATAAACTGACTTTGTTTTATATGAGACTTCACAACTTTTTAAAATGCATGAATATTGTATTGCGAGATTTTATTTTCTGTTTTTGATGGGATTAATTTTACAGCGAAGTCGTAAGTAGATTTGTCTGCGTATTCAGCCATGTGTATACAGATATTACACATGCCAAATTTGAATAATTTCAAAAGTCAATTTTAACTGATTTAAGAAAAACTGCATCTAATTTTAAATTAAAATTTAACAGATAACTATGCAAAATCAGACAAATATCAACATAAAGAATGAATTTTACCGTAACCACTGTAATAACAAGTGACGTCACCAACTGGAGGCCCAACTCTATTTAGCAGCGTTGATAATTACCCGATAAAACTTCAAATGGTGGATCTTTTTTCACTCACCAGATATATTTCGAAGTTTTAAAATGTCTTTTTCGGAGTTTTTAAAAATATTATAGTATATAAAAATAGTTTTAATAGAATACGGAAAAAATCATACCAGTCAATAAATGTTTATCTCTCACTTTTTATCAATCAAATTTAATAAAGGAATATTTTAAGTTCTCAATAGTGTATAATAAGAAAAAAAAAACAATAAAAAATAGATATTTTTTATAGTATATATTATGTATTTTATTGATATTTTACACCCCCTACTCCGGGGTCTAAATAATAAGATGTGAATATTATATTTAAAGCTATATTTCTTCTGTTTCTCAAATATATTTATATGTATTTTCTAAAGCTTTTACTTATCTTTTACCTCACCTCAAACCTTTCATATTTGAAAGTTACATAAACTACATCCTCTACATCGATTAACTACATGTAATGTAGTTTATGTAGTTTTTAAGAGTAACATGTAGTTTTCCGAACCCTGATAGTAATGCTGATCAAATTATTAGTCATGCTTGTTATTTACTAAATTTTTTAAAATGCGATGAAAATAATAAAAATTTCTAACTTTTATCTGTGTTCAATATTAAAGTTATTAACTTGAGTTGAGTAACAGGTTGAGCTTGAAGTAATAAAATATTGTTTTAATGAGTAAAATATGAGGTATGTTTTACTAGAGAACTTACAAACTGATCCTCTTGAAAGTAGGTTTGGAAAATTTAAACAGTTAGCTGGGAGTCAATACAGTATTTGTGTTCGACATTTATATGAAGGCGAAAAGAAACTTAAGATTCAGTCATTAATGTCCCTAAAAATAATTTTTCCAGACAACACTGATATTGAACAAAATTCACTTATAAAAAACCTTACTAAAGGCAGTCTTGGGTTTCCAAAAGATGGAATAACTAATATAGTTTTATGTGAATTTATAATTTTTAACAAAGTTTTGTCAAGCCATGAGGAGTTTCTCAAAATTCACAATAAAAAAATATTTTGATCAAAAATATCTTTGGATTACATTAAAAGTAATAATACCATTATTAAAATTTCCGTAATGTACTATTTATAATGCTAAGTTATTGTAAAAATTGTCATAAATTCTATTAGAAATACACGTCTGAAAAACTACTGTTGTTAAAAAATAATGATAGACTTGGAAAAGGAAATAAAAGAAACTTAGACACACTTACAGCATAAATAAATACAATGACGATGGATAATGTGTGTTAAATTTTATGTTTAATTATTATTTATTAAAAATTCGGTGCAATTAAAGTTTATATCCATTATATACGTATAAAGTGTATCAAATGCAATCAAAGTTTAGGCCTCCAGTTGATGACGTCACGAATAAGCTGTCCGGCCTTGTTATTACGGTGGTTACGATTTTACTCACCTATAATAATCCTCTTTGCAATAAATATTCCCGTCTCGCGCGAAACATGTCAGTTCAGTGTCCAGGGGCAACTTGCACTCGCAGCACTTCAAACAGCTGACGTGCCACTGTCTGTCGACGGCCAAAAGGTAGTACCGATCGTGTATTCGGCCCCCGCATCCCGCACAAGAAGATGCCTCTATCATGGAGGAGCCCCCGATGCTGGAACAAGGAGAGGAGGTACCTCTCTCTATCGAGTCTCTGTCCTTGAGCATAACTGCTGGAGTTAGGCTGGGATCTGGAATGAATAAAAGGTGTTATTAAGTTATTTTTTGTATTGAGGAAATTAACTTTTTGAATTTTCGTTGTTTGCGCCTCCTCTTTCTAAACAGACCGGACCACCGTACTAGTAATATAGGCAGCACCGGACGAATTAGCGTATACCCGTCCGCCGGATAAAAAGCAGGCGAAAAAATTCGATAAAATAAAAATAGTAGTGATGGGAATAATCGAATTATTTTCACCATCGAATAATTAGTAATAATTCATATTTCACAATCGAATTAATAATTCGAATTATTTAGTAGAATTATAAATTTAACCTAAAAATAAATTCGTCCCAGCTAGTGCTCGTCTAGGGGCTATTTTAAACAAATCTGAACCATTGCCATAGCTATATTCTATCACTGAATAAAGAATAAAAAAATATTCTTTATTCAATGTATTCTATTAACTGTGCCGAAGCCGTTTAATAAATTAAACCATAATTTAAAGTTTTAAATTTAAAAGTGCCGAGTTTATCATTGTTATGTTATAGCCTTTTATAAACATTTCAATTAAAGCCTGATGTGTTGATTAATGAAGAACAGGAGTTAAAGCAAGTGTTCATTTGTGCTACCGCGGATCAAAATCCCACGTTTTCAAGTAATCAAATTGCTGAGGTGGTTATCCTGCCCACAATACCCGTAAGTTCATTGTTCAAGAATATTTGAATAATACTTTTCCCAACCGTTTAATTAGTGGATATGGAACTATTTTGTGGCCCGCTAGATCACCAACTCTTTCTCCCAATGATTTCTTTTTGTGGGGTTATGTAAAATCCAAAGTGTATGGTCATAATAGTGCTAATAATCTGGATGAGCTTCAAGTAAAAATACGAGAGGCTTTCCAAACTATTAGCCCTAATATGTTGGATTTTACGACCGCCTAGGCAAGAAGGTGGTCTTTTTGAACAATTGTTATAACTTTTTTTTATTTAGAGTAATATTTTAGTTTTTTTGGGGTTTAGAGAATTTATTTATTTTTAGTTTTGGTTTGTAAACACACTCAAATAATAAATATTTAAGTACTTTTAGTTTAAATGTTACGGGTGTTAGGTATAGTTATTAGACTACCGTTGGAGACGCATTGATATTATTCTGGTTGTATGTTATTAAAGCGGGTCATCTCGCTGTTGTAAAGTAAATGTTTCCTCATTATTTAAATAGTGTTATCTACTAATTAGTGATTTATCTAAAAAGCGGCAAAGAGAAGATATGTTTCTTTTAGCGAGATCTAACAGCACTGAAAATATTGCACTTATTTCCGACTCACCGTGTATAAAACCAGACAATTAGTTTACAAAATATTATACACATGATTTCTAAAATAAATATGCAGCAGGACAAAGAACAAAGTCAGTAAAACTTACACTGAAGTTCTCGCAATTTTTTAAACTTACCCTGTAAACTGTCTACGAATACAAAGCAATTATAGGTATCACACGACGATTCACACCAAATTAAAAAATGTGTAGATGATGCCCCCTACAAGAAGGAGACATATTGACATCGAATTCAAATTTCTCATCTAAAAACATACATAGAGACCAATTTTATATCATTATTTTTTTTTACTTCAGAAATTGTTCGGAAAAATCGAAATAAAAATGAAACTTCTACACCCTGTATCACTGAAACTAAGCATTTTAGGATATACATTTATACGAACTTTTTTACTTATTTCTATCTGCAGAATATACTGCCAAAGTTTCCGGAATACAGTGACACACGATTTCTAAAAAATACCTGTTATCAGAGCAAAGAACAAAGACAATAAAACTTACAGTGAAGTTCTCTCAATTTTTCAAACTTATCCCGTAATTTTACTATGTACGAACACAATTATATCCCACCAACGATTCGCACCAAACTAATAAACCTTTCTTCGGTTCGTCGTATAAGTACTAATACTAATCGCTCGAAAAAAACCGATTGCTCTAATTACGGCCGTTTTCTTCTGTATGGATAACGGAGGTTCGAGGTTCGTCACAATATCCGCTACGTACGTCCGCCAACCCGGAGTCCTTTTCCGGGTTTCGACGCTCGGCGCCCGATCCGGCTAGACGCCGTTGTAAATCAAAAGTTTACGAGGTTAAGTGGTTCCGAATCGAACCAACTTGGTATGGGTTTATGGGAAAATAAAGTCGGCTTAAAGCTCTCTGCGACGCTTTGGTTGTTTGTTGGCTTTGAAGGAAAACGATTAACGGTTCTAAAATTAATCCAAATAATGTTTATTAGTGTTGGGTAAATCACGTACAAGAGTCGCTCGTTTTAGGCGGCATATTTTAAATGCGGTTTCCTTTATACATTATTATATAAGTTTTATCAATTCCATATTAGGTAGGAAAGGTTTCATCATCATAATTTTCTTATTCAACTATTTCCAGTTATGGTGTAGCCTCCCTCTACACTCCTTGTAGTTGGGTCCATTGTTGTCTATTGTTGGCTATGCGGGCCCCGGTTATCCCTGCTAATTTCCTAATATCATGGGCGCATCTCAGGTTCGGTCTTCCTCTATAAATAGGTCTCTTAATTCCTCGTGAGTACCAATTTTTGTGATACATCTGTTGCCCGTTCTTCTTGCCAGGTGCCTTGCCCATTGCTATTTGCTATTGAATTTGACTCTGAATTAATGTTAACACTACTACTTTTTCAGTGAATCTTTAAATCTGTTGTTTTTTGTTAAGTTCGTTATTTAAACATATGTATGTAATACACTCATATTAACACTAATCATATTTTTACGTTTTTATTCATCATTTTCAATGCCCCCCCGGTTGCATCTTTGTAAAGGACTGTGAATTTTTTTTTTATTTGGATAGAGTGGCATTCTAGGTTTGAATATGATTGAGTTTCTTTCATAAGTACTCCATGCCAACTTAATTCTTCTGTTGATTTCTGGTAGTAGAGATCCCGGGCTGTGTATTAGTTGTCCGAAATATGTATATTTCTCCTATTTGCAATGTTGTGTCATTTATAAGAATTACTTTTCTTTCCACTAGTTAGTGAACATTACTTTACTTTTTGCTAGTTCATTTTGAGACCCACTTTATTGCTGGCTGTATTTAGGTCATTAATTTGTGCTTCTAGTTCTTCAGGACTAGTGGCAATTAGGACTATGTCATTAGCGAACCTTAGATGATTCCTCATCTATTTTTAATCCTTTGTTGGTTCAATCCAGTTGACGGAAGATTTCTTCTAATGTTGTTGATATCGCGTCTCCCTCTCGTACTCCTTTGCTAGTTGGGAACTCTGGGGTTGTTTTATATATTATTACTCTTGCTTTGGCTTCTTTGTATTTATTGGCGAGAGTTTCTATATAAGGTCTGTTTGGTTAGAATATCTTTATGTTACTGGCAGTAGGTTTATTTGTCTATCTTCTTTGCTGCCTTTCTTATAAATTAGAATTACGTTAATTATATATTTTTTGCTTAAATTTTAAAAACCTTTTTTTTCTTCTAAACTTAATCCACTAGCTATATTGCCATATTATCAAAATATCATGTTTTTGAAAAAAGTAAAAATTTTAAAATTTTCCGAAAGAAATTTGGAAATATACAAAAATTTTAATTTTTTATTTTCGAAAAACCCTCGTAGACGTGTGTCTGGAGCTCGGAATATACCATCCCTCAAAATATTTGCACTTGTTTAAGACTCGGTATGCATAGTTAATGTAATAAAAAGTTTTTTTATACGCGGTTCCTATTTACGTGGTGTTTTCAAGGAATATAACTTCCGCGTATAACGAAGGACTCCTGTATTTACTTTATTTTAATGATCATAATACATTTTTTACCATTACTTAGTAACGTTAGCTTTTTTTAGTAAAAATAGACTTTTAAAATCAAGTAGTTCTCTATGATTTGAGATAAAGCCATGAACAAGTCCAAGTGCAACCGTCGGAAGTTACTATCCTATTTTATGCAAAACTATTCATTAGACTGGCTACAGCCATCGTAGCTTCTAACGAACTAATTTGTTGATTGTTAATTGCAATCGGTGTATTTAACGAGTATGTACGGACATGTGTGTGCTAGAGAGGATAGAAAATCGTATAGGACAATTCTACCTTTTACATTTAATTTATTGATATATTTTTTAATTATTATTGAGAACTGAAGATAATTGATTGATTGAAAAAAGTTAAACTGAAAATGATGGTCATTCAACTTTTAATGTTAATTATACATGACGAGCAACTATTTAAAATAAATCTTTAGTACCAGGTTTTTCAATTGGAAATTTATGTAGGTACATATATCTGTGATTTATTTTTTTGCGTTTTTAGCTGGTTAGCGTTTGAAACTAGGAATAGGGTGATTGACGGCGATAATGGTAGGTAAGCGGTTAATGAAGAACCGCTCATAGGATTTTTTCGAAAATTTGGATTTTTACATAAAAGCACCTATCTAAATTATTTTCCGCATTACAGTTTTCCATGCTCCATCAGTTAAAAAGTCGTAGCATCTTCGTAATTTTAAATGTACCCGGTATGTTATTACATTTAAAAAAATCATATCTCATAATTATTGTACTATATATATAATATGTTAATCGGTTTGAAACGTTCTACGTCTCCCGATGCCATCTCTCCATGTCTATCTGTCTCTCCATGCACCATCTCCGAGAGCTCTTTCCTCCATAAACTTGTCCATACCTTCCTGCCAACTTCTTCTCGGTCTACCCTGTTTTTTTCTTTCTGCAGGTTTCAAGTTTATGATTTGCTTTGGAATTCTTATTTCTGCAATTTTGTGGACATGCCCGTACCATATAAGTTGTCTGTTTTTTTATCCCGTCCACTATTGTATGTTTAACTTCCATAATCTCTCTTATGCTTATTAGTTATTCGTTCGAGTTTTGATTTGCCTCCTCCAAAAATCCATCTCTGTAGCTTCCAGCAGTCGTTTTGTTGTTTCCTTAATCGGCCACACTTCACAACTGTATGTTGTTATACTCTTGATGATGGTATTATATATTA